GGCTATTGGCGAGTCGAGTCGCCAGCTTTGTCCTTGGCCCTAGGAAGACGGCAGCCTGGTGGATTGCGGCTTGGATCCCAGGCCATGGGCGACAAAACTCGGGGGACATCGCAAAGCCATGTGCCAAGTCCATCGGCCCAGAAATTACGGCAAGGGCCAAGGGCTAGCGAGGGCTCGCAGAGAGGGAAGTGAGACCAGAAAGTTGAGCCAATCGAAGCGAGGAATTTGCAAACCTGGTTTTTGATAGGTTCTGAGCAAAATCCGGTTGCTGTATTCCAGAGAGATTTGACCGTGGCTCAGATGGTGGTGCTTGGCTCCGAACTCACCAACTGATAGGTGCATTTCAAATTTGTCAGACTGTGCCAAGATTGAAATCTGGACAGCCAACTATGGTCAATCTGAATGGTGCAAGTAGCCTGTGGTTATTCCCTTGCAATATCCCACTTGCAGAAGTTGCGGACATCTCCGGCAGTCGCTTGCATCACATGTCTGACCCACCTATCGATGGATGCGAGTCACCCAGGTGTTGTTTTTCTTTCACTGTTTGCACAACAATCGCTGAATCAGCTGCAGCAATCTTACACATTCCAAACTGATTCCTGTGTGCCAAAAGCAAGGGATCACTTCACCTGGTTGGTAGACTGTCTATGCTGTCCTTAACACAAGGAACAGTGGATTAATCATGCGAATGTGAGAATCATCAACAGAAGGAAGCATAATCATGAAGAGGCGGCTTAAATTTCGAGACATGCCTGGTCTGGGGCTTAGTCAACTCAGGCGCCCGGTTCTACGTACTTTGCGTATGCACAAAATTGGGAGGGGGGGGGGGGGAATCTGCCACAACTTGGGACTGCAAGATTTGGTTGCTTTTTTAAGACCGTTCCCAGCAAGGAGCGCCTGACTTGACCCAGACCCGGCAGTGTCCCTTCCACCCTTCGTGCTCGAAGCGCGCCAGCTATTCGTCGGGCTCCTCGCCCAACTTGTCGCCGGAGCTAGCTCCTGCTTCCATGGATCCGTGCGGGGCTCAATGTGGAGATCCTATGCTCCATGGATTCCCTCAGCTGCAGGGATTCTGATAAGTTGGGCAGCTGTCAGAATTGGGGAATCCTTGTTGGACACCCTTCAATACTGGGCCAACATGAAGCCAGGGGCCGAAAGAGGCGCATCTTGAAAACTCCCTTTTGTTTCCTTTGAATGCCATCCCAGACAGGTCGCACTCTGACAGTCTCGAGGAAGATCTTGGATCCCTGCCTGAGATAGTAAGGAAACAGACTGCATTTGTAAAGCGCGACGAAGTGTGATGAGTTGCTATGTGCATGCATGCAGTATTGCTGCACTCCAACGGTCGCTCAGAGATGATCCCAATGCCTAGTGATCTTGGGAAGAGAATCGTCGAGATTCAATCAGAGATTGAACATACCTTTGGCCATGGCCAATGGCTACTTCGCATGATGTCACCAAATCAAAGAAACTCAGGATTTTGGAGAATGAAACTTGCGATACCCTAAAGAAAGCAAAGAAAGCAGGGGATGGATCACAGGGGTTCTCACTAATTTTGACGCAGAATTCAGCAGAACCTCTGGTTGATTTGGATTGAGAGCTGTCCCTTTTCTGAAGGGATCCTTCACTTTTGTTTGGGGATCTCCCTAGTAATCCAGGTTGCTTGATCCAGGGTTGCCGATCCTCTTGAAGGAAACCGCAAGAGACTCATGGTAGGCTCGCGAACCGGAGCGGGCGATCCCCTCAGCTTGCAGGAATTTGCCACCATTGGATCCGGTGGAGGAGAGGCTCAGCAACGCCCTCAGCGAGTTGGCCGACGAAGCGCAGGACCGGCAGAAAGGGATCGAGGCCGTTGATCTCAGTGCAAGCAACTGGAAGCAACACGATAACCTGATTTGAACAACACGATTGCAGCCCGCAGGCTCAGCTCAACTGTTGCTGCATCGTGGCCCTCGAACAAATTTCCCCGGCGCAGGAGAGGGCGACTCCAGACGCGAAAGTCGCAGCTGGTGAAGATGGTAACAGAAAGCTACCCCGGACACTCTCCGGATCATCGCGCCTGTCGAGATCATCATCGCCCTTTTCAAGAGGTGTCACTCCTCCAGTCGCCCGCGTGCCTTCAATTCGTTCAGCACGTTCAGGCAGGGTGCGAATTTGCGCAATGATGCCTGTGTGCATGGTGCTCATGTACTAAGCTTCTGATTTTGAAAGAGGTCATACTGTGTGCGCAGCCCACGCTCGAAAGCAGTCTGGCCAGGGGCCAGAATCAGAGAGCGGTTCAGATGGCTAAACCATTTTTGGTTTTCTTAGGTGGGTTTCCTTTTGACAACGAAAGGTGTTTCTTTTGCCCAAGTTGCTTGGGTCCGCTTCGCCTGCCAGGGAGGAACGGTCTGAGCGCGCAGGAGCGAAAGGGGGTCGTCGGCGGGGTTGACTGGAATCGTCAAAAGTGGATCGAAATGGGGAATGCCGGAAAACATGTTTTCCTTTTTCCTGAAAGCATCGCGAAGGGTTCTTCCATGCGGAGCCCTTGGACTAAATTTCACAGAGTGATTACTCAGAGTGAGTTGCACAGAGCCAAGTTGCACAGAGCTAAGTTGCCGAGAGCCAAGTCACACAGAGCCAAGTACACAGAGACAAGTGCTCAGAGCCAAGTCACCAAGTTGCACAGAGGATGCGGAAATCGGGGGCACGCTGCAATTGGCGCGGACAAACCCAAAGCAGGTAATGAATAAGGTAGAGGCATTTGGGCAGCGTGCGACATTTGTGGGTTGTCTTAAAGGTAGAGACCCTTCCAGGTGATTGGTTTCCATTTGGCTTCCCATTCGAACAAACCCTGAACGGGGAATGGCAGAATGCGCTTGCGCCCAGGAGCAGAATCCAGATAATTCTGCACTAGGAGAAGGACTTGCTGGCGGGCAGAGTGCAGACTGCAAGAGGTTTGGGTCCATGATGGCAAAGCGTGCTGCACACCCGGATACCATGTGTTGTACCTGAGGGCAAGCAACGGTTCAGCCTTGCCCGAGTTTTGGGATGTGAGGAGCTGGCAAGAAGAAGGGTATGCTTCAGATGAGGCTCGCACCATTTATGCTTGCGACTGGTTTTTCCTCCACGGCTGTCGGGCTGTTGCATTTGCGCCAACTGCTTGCGCGCATGCCTCACCTTGGTGCTCCCAGCCCCGGCCAGGTGGAGGAAATGGGAGAACCCGTTTGCATTGGACGTGACATGGGGACAAAGAGGCACGGGCTGCTCGTTGGGGCCGTTGAAGTAAGTTGAACTTACCAAACCTGTGCTTTTTTGATTCTCCAAACCCGTCGGAAGTGATGTGGAAGCCTCAGAGGGATACTCTGCGCAGGCCGATCTTCCACATCCGTTCGGCCCTTAGCATTGAAGAGAGCCTTGAATTACTCAGCCTGGCCGCCCACAATGAAGGATCTACAAAAACAAACGCCCAGAGGTGTATCAAACTCGGGTTCCCCTTTGGCTTGCCACTGAAGCGGCAGTGCCATCGAGGATGCTCCTCCACCGGAGCCAGGCAGTGGGCAGGGGGTGCCTTCACACCAGGGTTTCGGCACAGATGTCCTACTCGCCAAAGCCAAAGTTGCGGGTGTCCAACAAGTGAACATCTTTGTGAGTGGTCTCAGAGACAGACCTGCAAGCAAGGGAAACCTCTTTGCAGGAGGGGACGAGGACCGCATGATGGCTGTGTCCTTCTGAAGCACCGCCCGGCGAAGAACGACGGAAGGGGGGCCGAAGGCTTGGACCGCAAGTAAAGGCACCGCTCTTTCTGTTCAGGATGCCTTGTGCTTTCAGCTGGCTAGTGGCTTCCCCCACCTATGCTAGAACCATTCAGTGCCTTGACCCAAGGCTCATTCCAAACAACTGTAAACCAGCCCTAATCCAAGCCGAAAAACTACCAAGACAGAATCCACCCCTACGCCCGATCCAACTCCAGCCTAAACCCACCGCAAAACCCCCACCTTGCGCTCCGCTTATCATATCATCATCCAAGCCAATCAGTCGATGTTCTCAAACATTTGTGGCTTGCAGACTTATCCAGCCACAAAACAATGCAATGGGCTCGCAGTGTCCTCATTCTGCCTGCGTTTTCACCATTCAGATGGCAGCTTACAGGCAGGCCTTGAGTGAAGCATTTTCCCACCATTTTAACTCTACAAATGATTGGTGGGAGAAAAGGAGGATGGAGTGGAGTCAGAAGGGAGATAGTGACGGAACGAAGAGATGGAACGGTCACTCTCTCACACTCTTCTCTCTGGATCTTCATTTCCTTGCGAGTCCTTCATTTACCTCCCCAGGCAATGGACATAAGATCCAATAAGAGAGGCCTAAATCCAGGATTAATAGATGGGATTTTGGACTTTTTTCACCCATTCCTTTCCCAAGCTCTTCTCTCCGACCGCCTTCCAGCGTCAGACTCTGCTCGGAAATTCGTGCAGAGCTGATTGTGCTATTTGCCTGGCACATTCCAGGCTTGCAGAAATGGACTTTGGGCCAGCAGCAAGACCTCTGACCGTTGCAATCTCCATTTGCCTACTTTGTGTTGAAAGAAATATGTTGCATTGTTGCCGCATCAGTTTGTGTGATACAGTGGCATTTAAGACGCATTCCCAATGAGTACTGGGCTGGTGACCCGGGGACAATACCAATCAAGGCCGGACATTGTGAACGTGTTGCCCTTTGCGAATAGCAGAGCGCCAACCTTTAAAGAGCCTGTTGTCTCACGCACATGGCGCAGGGTATCAACGCCCTGCTCAAAAATTCCACGCAAAAATGTGTGCAGCTTGTGCGCAGTCTGCAGCCAATACTCAGACATGTGTATGCTCCATTTGTCCAGGCCCAGTCAAAAAGCAGAGTGCGCGATTGCTTACACGTTGTCAAGCCCAAGTCAGGCGGCGCCATTGAACCTGCCTTTGGAATGTGTATCAGCAATCTTGCAAGCTTTCTGGAGCAACAAGCCACGAGCCAGAGGCATCCACAGGACTTGTTTGAACAGATGCCTCGCGGGCGCCTGCGCCCATGCGAGCATGATCTCGCGCCGCGGGATGTCTCCTGAGACCATCGGGGCGGAAAACGTGGATGTGGGGCTGCCCAAATTGGTTCGTGGATGTGCAGTCGAACCCGAGCCCAGAAGTACTGTTCCGTGTGTGCCTCAGTATTTGTCCAAGAGGCCGAGAAGACCAACTGTTGGGGGACTTAATTACTGCCATGCCTGTGTGCCTTCAGTGCGTTGGGCAGTGTAAGTGTGAGCATCTTGGTGGATCGGATGGCGTGTCTAAATTACAGAATTCTTTGGGTGTTGATGCTTTACGCCCATGGATTCTCTCTTTGAGAGTGCTAACAGAGTGCAACAGGTAACCTGCCTGAGGTGGAGGCCCCGGATCAGTCCGCGCCGCTCACTGCGGCGCCCAAATCGGATTGCATCTTGAGGCCGGGAACTGATAGCTGTGGGGCCCATCCGTCATAAGGCTTCCTGTGGGCATTCTCTGGCGGGTTTGGTGTTCGCTACTTGTCTTGAACAACATCCAAACTTGAGCCTTGAAGCTATTTGACATGCGATGAATATGGATTCCATAAATGGCATAACTCATGACATGCGTTGTTTTCTTTTTATGTCATATGACGCAGACTACGGTGGTAGAGAGTCTGAAGTAATGGGGTTTTGTTCAGGTATTGTGCTGAATTTCTTGAGTCGTGTCTTTGTAATGTCCAGCAAACCTACAGCACTGGAAGATGAACTGGCATGAACTGGCATTTTTTTCGAACTAGTCTCCCAAACGCGCAGATTGCACGTAGATGCAAACCCTTCATGCGATCGAAAGAATCTGTTTCCTTTACTGCACAGACAATCCTTGATTTAGTATCAGTCCGTTCACTGATACAGCAATCAATCCAGCTGGAATCTTTATTACCTCCTTGGGGACTGACAAAACGCAGGAAACGAATAGCCAAACGAATGAGCCAAACAACAAACTCAATCAAGCTTCGTTTCCTTTCTGGGGGCTTCCGGAAGCACCAGAGTATCCTGGCCGAGCCTGCTGGCGAAGCTTGAACGCTTGTGTCCCTGAGATGCCCGTCAGCACTGTTCTTTTGGCCACCGGCCACTCTTCCTGGCTATGTTCCTTTGACTCTTTGTGGGGAGCCCGTTGATCCAACCCATGGAGAAAGTGTTGCTCACTACGTCGGCTGGCCGCCCGTGAGGTGCTGCCATTGCATCTCCGTGATAGACATCCTGGCCCGGGCCTTGGCTTCGTTTCAGACTGAGCCAAGAAGATCGGGGTAGTCGGCGGTCGGGTAGTCACAGCTTGTAAGCAGACGGCTCGTTCACATTCACTGCCATACTTCATTTTGCACGTCGCTTTCATTTGTTTATTTCCAGGTCCCTGGCTTCATTGCTTCATTGTTTCATTGAGGGAGAGGCGAAGCGGGCCGCAGGATGCCTCTGGGATTCTCAGCAGGTCGTTGTGACCCGCGTAGGACAGCAAAAACATTAGCGCCTGGCAGGGAAGGGAAGAAAGGGTCGGACATTGGTGCGTTTCTCTCTTTTGGTGCCTCACAATGTTTATTTTTGAGTGTACCTCATTCTAGGTTGCACAGCGATATTTGGGCCTTTGCCTCGTTCATTCCATCGTGTTTGCGATTTTACATGTTCAATGCTTGTTTCTGGTGCAATTCCTTTTTGGTCTACCCTCACCCTTCACACGCGGAACCTCGCAGGTGGTTTGGACCATTCTCCTTGTCCAGGTCCTTGCGCTGGCTGCGGTGGCCAGCGTCATAGCCATCGCGGGGTGGCCCGGTTCGGTTGGCTTCCCTTGGCTCCATGGGCTCTTTGTCCGAAAAGGGCAGCGGCTTCCCCCCGCTTTGTGTGGCTCTGTCTTGGCCCCGTGCTGATTCATTTTCTCTTTTTGGGTCATGTTAGATGTTGGCGTTTTGTGGCCCTTTTGCCTTTTGCCTCCCTTTCCCAGGAGACCCGGAGGGAACCCAAAACAAAGCCACAGCGTCAGTTGCCATCCGACCGAAACCATCACCTGCCCTTTTATGGAGTCTGTAGCAGCCGTGCATGGTCAGCAAGGTCAACATTTGGTCGCCGTAGATCATTGTCTAAAAACAACAGCCACAAACGAACCACAACAGCCACACCAACCGCAGCAGCCACAACACTCGCCGCAACCAAAACATCCACAACAGCTACAGCAACCGCAACAACCGCCACAGCCACAACAACCGACAACTACAACAACCACAACCGCCACAGCAACTACAACAGCCGTAACAACCACAACCACAACAAATTCAACAACGACAACAACCACAGCAACCGCAACATCCCAGCAGCGGCAGCGGCAGCGGCGGCAGCGGCAGCAGCAGCAGCAGCAGCAGCAGCGGCAGCGGCAGCGGCAGCGGCAGCAGCAGCGGCAGCAGCAGCAGCAGCAGCAGCGGCATCATCAAATTTGGAAAAGACGTTGTTGTTTGGCACATGGAGAGGTCAGCAGCATCCGGCCGGAGAGCTTTAACATTGCTGCCATCGGATTGAGAGGACCTGAGTCGTAGGCAGACGGACGGGCGCTATATATATATATATATCTATATGTGATGTTCAGCCTGTTTCCCCCTTTTCGTTCTAGCTCGTTCACCGCCCAAGACGGGTTTTCTTCTTCCCTATGGTCAACGGGCAACTAAGTATTGCAACAGCAACACCAGTTTGAATGATAAGTCCAGGAGGTATGCCATTGTTAGATCGATTAGGCTCCTTTGTAATGGTGCGTTGCAACATGCTTTGCCCCCGAGTGATGCATATCATTTTCTATCAGGCAGTGAACTCCGAGCCACCAATTTGCACATCCGTTTGCCCTCAGCATCCATGGTTTAACTCTTTTGTAGATCAGTACTCGTTGTTTTGAAGTCAGAGAATCCAGACATATTCAAAGATGGCCGGCCTGAGCCCGTTTCCAAGAGCCATGCCCCTTCTCTTACCGCTTCAAGCAAAGTACACTTGCACATGCTCCAACTGAGCAACTTCGAAGCTGACAACACGAGTTCCGATCAGCTTTCTTCGGAGGTTGGACAACCTCCTTTTGCACCACGGCTGTGGGATGTCCTCCCCTTAGACAAGCTTCGCCCTGCCAGGAGCGTCGGTGGGGCTTTGTGTGCTACTGGGCATCGAGCAAGGGACACGAAACACTTCCTGCCACTGCTCGTGCCTGAGGCAGGGCCCCATTGCCCCCTTTACCCCAGTCCTTTTGTGAAAAATCGCAGGAGCTGATCAATACAACAACTTGAGCCCACTGCTGAACAGGTGAGCCATCCTTCTTTATGCTTTGCCCCTCCTGCCCCTGACAGCACATTTGCTGCCCGTTCCGTTTGATCGGCTCATATGATCTGGCTCCCTTTGAAGGAGGGAGGCTTTGTTGGAAGGGTAACATTTTCAGCTTGACCTATTGCGGCTGGAAAATGCAATCGCTTGTTCCCTGGCAAGGCGGCTGTTTCCGCCTCTGGACTACTGGGTTGGACGAGGTCTAGCACATCTCTTCCTGGCATTGCAGATGGAGGGGGCCAGCAGCGAGGGGTTGGATGCAGCTTGCAACGATTTGGACAGGTTGAGAGGAGGAATCAGCAGAAAGCAAGCAAGAAGCAATAGGAAGCGTCGCAATAGGAAGCAGGAATCAGCTGGCAAAGACACACAGAGGCAGGCATAGGGAGGCACCGGCAGAGAGGCAGGGGCAGGGGCAGGGGCAGGGGCAGGGGCAGGGGCAGGGGCAGGGGCAGAGGCAGAGGCAGGCAGGCAGCCACGCAGGCAGCCACGCAGGCAGCCACGCAGGCAGCCACGCAGGCAGCCACGCAGGCAGCCACGCAGGCAGCCACGCAGGCAGCCACGCAGGCAGCCAGGCAGGCAGCCACGCAGGCAGCCACGCAGGCAGCCACGCAGGCAGCCACGCAGGCAGCCACGCAGGCAGCCACGCAGGCAGCCACGCAGGCAGCCACGCAGGCACGCCCAGCCAGCCAGACAGCAGCAAGTAGTAAAGTTGGGGCAGTTTTTGATCAGAACAAAGCCAAGCTGCTGGGGTCGTTTTGATTTGGAGCAATGACGCGCGTGTGATTTGCGCTGCCGAGGGAACCACCACTGACCTGATCAACGCGGCATCCATAGCGGTGGCTGTGGTGGGTGTTTTCTTTACCAGCGGCGCATTCTTGTGCCTTGGCAATCATGCAGGCGACGCCAGAACAGTTTTTCTAAACATGTTGCGGCGACATGTGCCACGGTCAAACAGCTCGACGAGCCGGGCTTGGACCCTGGTGCCGCCTTGCACTACCGTTTGAAGGGGGGCATCAGAAAAGACTCTCAGACTCTAATTTTGACCGCCCCACCCCACCTTGATTTGCAGGTGCTTTGGGCCTTTGGAAAGACGGCATCACCGGCTGGCCACCAGAAAGGAGGACCGCGAGCTCTCTGGACAGATCTGTCCGAAACGGTCCAGCAAAGCAACGGCCGAAAGCCGCGTTTTGGGTCTCCGAGGATCTCCGAGGATCTCAGCCCGCGAGCCTCCAGTGTTTGATTGACCGAGTCTTATGAAAGGTTGACAGGTAGGGTAGGCGCAGAACCAAACAGCGGGGTTTGCTCAGCGGCCACAACAGTTCGAGTGGTTGCAAGTTTGGGATCGGGAGTGAAAGCGCTGTTACTCTGAGAGGCCTGTTGCTGGTTCTCCGACCGGCTGTGCTCCGCCTGCGAGGAGGTCATGCGCGAGTTGTCGGAGCTGGAGCGGAAGAAGAAGGCCCTCGAGAACGAAGCAGGCATGTGAGATGTGAGGATTTCGACTTGCGCCTACGAGACATCGGCCTGAGCGCGCTGCGCGCGCTTGCGCGCAGGGGCCCGACCGGCTGGCGACGGGCGCTGATGGGCTGATGGGCTCAAACTTGTGGCGACCTGCCTCTCTGCGGATTCCCTGGACGTTGCAAGCTGTCTGTCCATAGTTTCTGGGAATCAGGATCCGTAGGCCTGGTGCGGGCACTTGTCCGCACTCCGATCTTTGGCAATGCAAGACGCCAGAAAACATCGTTGCCAGCCTTCAATGGTCACACGCTGCAGTCGTGATCGGGACCTTGTCGATCACAGATGCGAATGTGTTGCCACAATCACCTCCCCATGAGCAAACGCCAGCCTTATGCACAAGATTGTGCCCGACAAAGTTCCTATACAGCTAAGTGTTGATTATGACGCACTGCTATTAAGAGGGCTGTGAGAGGCCTGAATCTGAGCAAATTGCATGTGTTGGGTTCTAGCTCATAAATATCGCATCAATGTAGTCAAAACCAGAGACCAAGTGCCACTATAAGGTGCCTTTCAGAAGAGTAAGATCAAGGCACTGCGAACCCCTTCTCACTTTGGCAGTACTTTGCAGGTACAACCGCAAAGCATAAGTGAACAGGGCAACCGTTTGGGAGTCTCAGCCCCTCGTCGCTTTCGCCGACGAGCCCACTTCCGTTTGTCCGTCCGTGGCTCGAAGCCGGCGCCGCCGCACCCGATCCGCAATGAAGCAGCTCTGTCCCTGAAGCTCGAGGCGAGGGTCGAGGGGCCGGGGGGCCGGGGGGGCGGTCGCTGGTATGGTGCCTTACCCGACATCAAAGAGTCGCTTTTTTGGGGGACATAGATGGATTTCCCGGCCAAGAAGTTTGATATTTGTTTGTTTTGGCGAAGAGCAATCTAGCTGAAACGTTGCAAGAAGCTGATGACACCTCAACTCCAGTCAATGTCGATTCAAGGGTCTGGTTCTGATAAGCCAAAGTTTCAAGCAGCTGATCGAAGACCGTGTCTGCCACGGCATCTTTCAGTTGGGTTCAAGCCGATGAACGGGTACTGGACTTTGCCATTCGGGCATGCTGTACGTTGACTCAGAGTGGCATGCCAAGTGAGCAAGTGAAGTCAAACGAATTTCTGTTCTTGAGCATGTGCCAATGTGTTCAAGACTTGCTTGCCCGGCGCCTGAGCTGCAAGCAAAACATGTGGATGTGCCAAGCATGTGAATGTGCCAAACATGCGTATGTGCCCAACATGTGGATGTGCCAGATACCTGAACCCTCCAAAAGTACTGAAATTTCCGTACATGCGGAAAAAAAGTGTCAATGTACACTTTTGAGGAAATTTGACGGAAATCGCTGTTAGCAGGCAGTGAGCGTTTGTGGTGCACTTGGATGCACATGAACACAGTTTGCAATTTACACGGCCTTGGTGAATTGCACACCTTCAAATGGTATGAGCATGACAATCTCCAGTGCCATGGCCGGAGCTGAAAGTGAGATTCTTGTAGAAAAAAGGTAGCAAAATGCTCCTGTGTTTTATGTTGAGCCTGCAAGAAAAGTACAGTTTTTGCTCAAATGTATGGATTTCAAGGAAATGCACGGATTTTTGCAGAGAGTCGCAAAAAAAGTGCCCTTTGTTGGTCCAGGTATGTGGATGTGCCGACGTGATGACAGATTTAGGCAACGGTTTGGCGAGCGCCGTAAACCCGGGCAATGGTAGTACAAGCAAGTTGTATCCTTTCAAAACCTTCGCGAAAGCCAAAATGCAGGCCGCGAAAGCTTGCAAAAGCGTATCGCAAAAGTGCTCAAAGAAGGTTCTGCCACGAAAGCCCCACTACATTCCAAAGGGTTTGTTTCGCGCAGTCCGCCACGAAGGCTCCGCGAAAGCATTTCTCGAGGAACCGACGCCCGCGAAAGCAAAATGTGCGGTCGCGAAGGCAACCTCATGGTACTGCTTGTTTCACAAGATTTTCCGGCACCGCTCACATGTTACGTAAGATGGCACCATGAGTAGCATTCAGCTTCTGATTGAACACTGTCGTTGGCAGACGCAGTGCACACGCCTTTTGAGTTAGACGCCTTGTCTTACAGCACCGGCAGCGCCGCAACTTTCCAGCCCTTGTGTTTTGAAGGCGGGCATTGGGAGTCAGTTGATTCTTTGATGCAGTCTTGGTCTAGGATTTGCTTCAGGCTTCGCGCAAAAAGCAGCTCGCAAGCGGTACTGGGAATTGGATACGTTCAAACTTGCAGGGCTAGGATTAGACATTAGCAAAGCACGAAGCCGTTGGACCCGACTAGCTTGGCTGTGCCCAGAACTTTGTGGGAAGTTGCAGCTTTGATTGCTACTGGTGCTTTTAGACAGGGTAGTGTTGGCCGGCGCATGCAGTTGGACGCCTTGTCTTGCAGCACCAGCAGAGCCGCAACTTCCCAGCAGTTACGCTTTCAGCATTTGCTTCAGTGGTGCGCCTCATACCAAGTTTGCCCAGCAAGTGGTTGCTTGAAATGCGATGTGTTCAATCCCCGTACTTATTATGGGTATGGTCAGGCTTGGAGGAGCAGCGTGAGACGGCATCACGAAGAGTTGCAGCTTTGGACTGCTGCTGCAACTGCTGGACAATGTAGTGTTGCCTGCACATGCGCTCGCACTTTGTGAGTTGGACGTCTTGCCTTTCAGCACTAGCAGGGCCGCACCTTCCCAGCAGTTATGCTTTCATGGCTAGCGCGTGTTGGGAGTAAATGGAGCGATGCAGGCTTGGTCTGCCCGCTGACCTTTGAGCTGCCCGCTCTGCCGCTGCGTCTACTTCTGAGCCTGCGCTGCTTTGCCCTTGGTCGTGGCTTCAGGCGCTCCAGCAACGGCTGACTGACAGCTCAAAGCGGTGGCGCGAGTCACAGAAATGGAGTTTCTGAAGAGGTATGACACTGGATCCTGAGTGTAGCTTTTGCAAGCACCCGTGGCACGTTGCCTTGCAGCTCCGTTATTTGGAAGCTGTGAATGCCAATGGACTTCCAAGGTGAGTTTCCACCACAGCCAAAGTCCCTTTTGGATGCCTTGGATAGTGCAGCCTTGGCCCAGGCATGTGCTTCAGTTGGCTTCGCACCAAGTCTGCCAAGCAGGTGGTTGCTTGAAATGCGATGTGTTCAATCCTCGTATCGCCGTTCATCAATGTGCAACAAGATGCATCACGATGCGTGGAGGACCAAACTGGCAGCATGTCGCTGCGAGTCTGATCCCACTTAGATTCTCTCTAGAGCTACCCAACAGGGAACCTTAATGGGATTTATTAAGTGGAATCTGCCACTCACCAATATGTAACAAGATACATCACGACGTATGAAGGACGAAACTGGCTGCATCTCGCCGCGTGTTTGATCCCACTTGGGGAACGCAAAGAAGAATGTTTGTGCATGCCATGACCCTCTCTCGCGTGGCCTTCCCCGTATATCGCCTAAGACCACAGGGCTCAAGCAGTGCAAGCTGCCGCGCAGCAGTTTGTATCGCTTTGGATGCGTCAGTATCGCTTAAGACCAGGGGGAAAAAGCAGAACACGCTGCTGAAGGGCATGCCTTTGATGGAAGAGTAGTTTCTTGTGAATTTTGCGCGAGGGCCACATGGTCTGCGGCTTTTCACTTATTAGTGTCTTTCGTTTTCGAGAGGAACCGCTGCAGTTGTATCTTTGCGAGTAGAAAGCAGGCGTCTCTGTAGAAGCAAAGGACCCATCTCCCTAGAATGAGAGTACTGGCGTGGAGTGCACTCAGCAAGGAGGACGACGAGCATAGTGTCGCCTTGACTTGAGCAAAGAACGGAGCCATTGGACTCAACCAGCTTGGCTGTGTCCAGAATTCCGCGGCAAGCTTCGGCTTCAGACTGAACACTGCTGTTGGCAGATGCAGTGCTTACACCTTTTGAATTGGGCGTCTTGTTTTGCAGCGCCGGCAGCGCCACAACTTTCCGGCCCTTGCACTTTCAAGGCAGGCGCGTGTTGGGAGTCCATTAATTTAAGGATGCAGTCTTGGTCTAGCATTTGCTTCAGTGGCTGGCTTCGCTTCAAGGTGGCTCGCAACAGGTTGCTTAGAATTGGGAATGTTCAGGCTTGCAGGACCAGGATTAGACACTACGAGCATGTTGCTTTGAGCAAAGCACGGAGCCAATAGGCCCAACCAACTTGGCTATGCCCAGAACGTCGTGGCAGACCTACATTCGAATGTCTGGCCTGGGGCGGTTTTCCTTTATTGGGCTGACAAAGTATGACAATTCGCCAGGACATATTGGCCCCTGTCCAGACATGGTTGAGGCTCCAAGGCATCCGAGCCCCGTCGGCTGGGCGCCGGCCCAGTCTCCAGCCCATGCTCCTTTTGGAGCAGTTCCCTATGCCTGGAAGCACATAGCATTTAAGCGGTCCTGAGCCTCATGTTGCCTTGACTTGAGTGAAGAGCGGAGCCATTGGAAGCTTCAGACTGAACACTGTTGTTGGCAGACAGTGTGCTGACGCCTTCTGAGTTAGATGTCTTACCTTGCAGCACTTGCAGGCCGCAAATGTCCTGCCCTTGCGCTTTCAAGGCGGGCTCGCATTGGGAGTCAATTAATGCCATGCAGTCTTGGTCTAGCATTTGCTTCAGCGGCTGGCCTTTGCATCAAAGTAGATCGCAAGCGGTAGCTTGGAATTTGATATATTCAGGCTTGCAGGAGCAGTGTGAGATGGCATCACGAAGGGCATCATGGTTGACTTGAGCAAAGTGCGGAGCCGTTGGACCCGACAAGCTTGGCTGTGTGCAGAACTTTGTGGGAAGTTGCAGCTTTGGACTGCTGCGACTGCTGGACACTGTAGTGTTGCCTGCGCATGCGCTCGAACTTTTTGAGCTGGACGTCTTGCCTTGCAGCACCAGCAGGGCCGCAACTTCCCAGCAGTTACGCTTTCAGCATTTGCTTCAGTGGTGGGCCTCGCACCAAGTCTGCCAAGCAAGTGGTTACTTGAAATGCGACGTGTTGAATCCCCTTACTTCTGCCGTTCATCAATGTCACGATGCGTGGAGGACCAAACTGGCAGCATGTCGCTGCGAGTCTGATCCCACTTAGATTCTCTCTAGAGCTACCCAACAGGGAACCTTAATGGGATTTATTAAGTGGATTCTGCCGCTCACCAATATGTAACAAGATACATCACGACGTATGAAGGACGAAACTGGCTGCATCTCGCCGCGTGTTTGATCCCACTTGGGGAACGCAAAGAAGAATGTTTGTGCATGCCATGACCCTCGCTCGCGTGGCCTTCCCTGTATATCGCCTAAGACCACAGGGCTCAAGCAGTGCAAGCTGCCGCGCAGCAGTTTGTATCGCTTTGGATGCGTCAGTATCGCTTAAGACCAGGGGGAAAAAGCAGAACACGCTGCTGAAGGGCATGCCTTTGATGGAAGGAGTAGTTGCTTGTGAATTTTGCGCGAGGGCCGCATGGTCTGCGGCTTTTCACTTATTAGTGTCTTTCGTTTTCGAGAGGAAACGCTGCAGTTGTATCTTTGCGAGTGGAAATTGGGCGTCTCTGTAGAAGCCAAGGACCCATCTCCCTAGCTTGGCTGTGTCCAGAATTCCGCGGCAAGCTTCGGCTTCAGACTGAACACTGCTGTTGGCAGATGCAGTGCTTACACCTTTTGAATTGGGCGTCTTGTTTTGCAGCGCCGGCAGCGCCACAACTTTCCGGCCCTTGCACTTTCAAGGCAGGCGCGTGTTGGGAGTCCATTAATTTAAGGATGCAGTCTTGGTCTAGCATTTGCTTCAGTGGCTGGCTTCGCTTCAAGGTGGCTCGCAACAGGTTGCTTAGAATTGGGAATGTTCAGGCTTGCAGGACCAGGATTAGACACTACGAGCATGTTGCTTTGAGCAAAGCACGGAGCCAATAGGCCCAACCAACTTGGCTATGCCCAGAACGTCGTGGCAGACCTACATTCGAATGTCTGGCCTGGGGCGGTTTTCCTTTATTGGGCTGACAAAGTATGACAATTCACCTGAACATATTGCCTTGCCTTACCTTGCCTTGCACTTGCAGCACCAGCAGAGCCGCACCTTTCCGCCGCCAAAATGGGACCCAGTGGAAATCAATGGCTCAGCACACGGAAGCTCGCGGAAGCTTTGAAGGACGTTGTACAGTTTGCGGCGGAATGTCGTAACTGTCATGCTGTCTTAAACATTGGCTGTCTCATGATCGGTGCTAGCTTTGCATATGCGTGCTTGCACAGTGCCATCAGCGTATTGTCAGAAGCTGTATGCGTTGGTTCCAACAGACCGAACAAGAGCCCCCTCGCAGAGCATGCCCGGAAGCCGCAGAAGCAACACATGTGCGCGGAAGCAAAGGCCTGTGCGGCGGAAAGCCTGCGGAAGCCGCGCGGCGGAAAGCCTGCAAAAATATGACACTTTGTCCCTAGGATATAGAAATAGAAAGTGATAGAAAGGGAAAGGTGCTCAGGGTCTCATTGTCCCCTTGGCTTCCTCGTCATCAAGGATGACTCAATTTCTGAGAGACGAGGCAAGGTGACAGTGAGGAAGTCCTTACACCGCTCATGGGCGGAACTTACCAGTCAAGCAATTTTGCTGCCTTAGGGCATTTCCGTCGCTAGCAGCCGCCGTGTGACTGGTGAAGGAAAGGGCCATCTCTACCCCCCCTTTCCCACACTAGGATGTGAGTGCCACGAGTGGTGGTTGCCTCAGGCCCGGACTCTCCGAAAGGCGCCGAGCTTCACATATTTGGACCCCACATGACTCAGGCCATAGGGATTTTCCATTCACTTTTCCCACTTTTACCTTTTGTTAGGGGTGAGAAACGGAAAGACGGAAGAGAGGTAGAGTGGGTTGGTTCGGAGGAGGAGGACGATGTCATTTGTCACACGCCGAGTCTCTGACCTCGTCCCTTACTTGGTCACCTTGTTTGCTCCAGAGATTTCTCGCTTATAAGGACTAGCTGGAAAATGCCTTGAAGAATAGAACCCCACGTTGGCCCAGCTTGCAGTTCCCAGAGCATGCCGGCTCGGTGCTGCAGCCTTTTAATGCCAGTTGTTCGTTGCCAGGATGCTTTAGGTTCTGCCTTCCTGCGAAATCACTGCAGGCCTGCAGGTGCGCTCACTCCCTCGAGTTGCGCTCCTGCCTTACAGCATCGGCAGCGCCGCAACTTCCCAGCACTTACTCCTTCAAGGCTGGTGCGCGTTGGGAGTCAGTATACGCTGAGTGAGTTGGCGCGCAACAGTGTCAGTGATGTTTGAGATACTCGTCATACACCAAAGGCAGGCTGCTGCGAAAGTCTGCAAAGATGCGACGCTGAGCAACTGAGGCGGCATCGCTACCAGAGGGTTTGCCGGCTTCGCCTCCAGCTCCTCGCCCTAATTGACACTTTGAATGCCTTGACTGGGGCCATTGGACCCACCGTGCTTGGATCTTCCAAGAAGTTTGTGGCAAGTTCAAGCTCGAGACTGCTGCTGTAGTGGGCAGACATAGCACTGCTGGCCTGAGCATGCGCTCACACGTCTTGATTTGCAAGCTTGCTTTTCAGCATCGGCAGCGCCACAACTTCTGCCCTTGGCCGTGCCTTCAGATGCTCCAGCGACTGACAGCTCAAAGCGATGGCACAAGTCAGAAAGTTAGAGTTTCTGACGAGACATGAAGCTGGTTTCTGAGTGTAGCTTCGGCAGCACCCTTTGCACATTGCCTTGCAGCTCCGTCAAATTGGAAACTGTGAATGCCATTGGTTCTCCAAGCTGAATTCCACCATAGTCGAGGTCCTTTCTGGATGCCTATTCGGATAGTGCAGCCTTAGCGGCTGGCTTTGCTCAAAAGAGGTCACTTGGAATGGGAAATGTTCAGGCTTGCCGCATCAGAGTTAGTTGGCGCCAAGTGGATCCTCATTTTGCCTTGACTTGAGCAAAGCACGGAGCCTTGAGACCCAACCAGCTTGGACTTGTCCGCAACTTTGTGGCAAGCTTAATCCTGAGACTGCTGCCGTGGTTGGCGGACACAGTGCTCCTGGCCAGCGCACGCACTCACACCTTTTGAGTTGGACGCTTGGATCTTGGCACCCTTGATTTTCCTTGAAGGGGACGTTCTAGGATCGTCCCTAGATCCATCCTCAACTCCTGCCAGCGTTGCTACTTAAATGAGAGGCGTGCTTTTTGCCCGCAACTTGAAATTAGGCCCGCTCAAATGCTTTTGGCTTGACGGGATCCCAATGCACTCGAGGATGCTACAATGGGGAAAAGAACTGGTGCCACACCCTATGGTCCCGGGAACTACTCGCGCGGTCTGGGGGTCGAACCCGCCCATGCCCTCGGCAAGTAAACGCATGGGGCCGCGATCGGCGGCAACTCTGCAACTTCCCGGCCGCTAAGCCTTCAAGGCTGACACGTATTGGGATTCCACTCAATGAGTCTTGGTCTAGCATTTGCTTAGTGGCTCGCTCACACGAAGTTTCGAAAGGGATATGTTCCTTGTCCATGTCTTAGAATTTGACCACGCTTATGACCTTAGCGGCTTGACTTGAAGCACAGAGCCCTGTGTCCAGCGCTTGGACCCAACCGCTTCCGTGCCCAGAACTTCGTGAGGGGGAGTGACTGGGTGAGTGAGTTTCGGACTCATTTTCAGATGCAGGCTTTCTTTTGAAGCTCAACGTGTTGCACACTTTGAAGCGGGCACTTTCGTTTGCCATCTTTCAGAACTTTGAATTGACAGTGCGGTTGGGTAAAAGTGCGCTGTCTTTGTGATGAGCTCAAGTTTGCTAGCGTGTCATTTGGAACGCGTTCAAGGCTGTCGGGCACACCATTTCGAGGCTTGCGTCGGTCTGCTGCGGTTGTTTTCGGGAGTTAGTGGTTCTGGGTATTAGTCTGCTTGGTTTGGCTCATTTGCACCGTTCTTCAATGACTTGCTTGGAGCCGGCCCTTGAAAATGCAGCATTCCAACGCGTAAAATTTGACAGCATGGCACAGTGAAAGCGCGTTGGTTTGGATGAGCTCATATTTCTGAATAGGTGTGGGTTTAAAGCTTGTTGGCACCCCAATCCAACTACTACCTTACAGCATGCTTTTTGTCCTCGGTGTTTGGCAAGTTTGGTTCTTTGTGGAGTTTGCGATTTGGAGGAGTTGGACACTGGGGGGAATGGTGTGGGGCCATAGGTCTCCAGGAGCAAAGCAGGCCAGAGGGAAGTAGCCCATTTGGAGGGGCACCTGTTGACTGTACATGACTAGAATGCACAAACTTTTGAGTTTGCATACTTCCACAATTGCACTATGCGGATGAGCGAATGCCGATACCTCAACATACCGATTTTCCAGAAGACGCCACTTGGAGTTTTGAGGGACTACCAGTTCAAACAGATCACATCTGTTTGGGTGTGGAGAGACTGGCGCCGCAGGTTCAGCCGGGTCAGCAAAAGCGAGGCCGGGCACTGAAGAGAGGGAGGACGGGAGATCCAGGGGCGTGGTGCTACGCCTGCCTCACACAAACACCTGGCTATGGCGCGATTTCCACGTACAGAGACTCACCAAGAACCGCCCGGCGGGTACTGACTGCGGCTTGCAGGCATCCTCACGCGCCCGTTCCATGTGGTGGCATGCTGTTGGTTGCTGCGTTGGATCATTTTAAAGGTCGATCTTTGCTAGCCATTGCATTGGTTTCTGGCTCCACTTTCTCAGCTTTTCATGTCTCGGGTTGTCCAACATGGGGAACCTCCTTTCCCTTTGGGTGGCATGTAAAGGGAAACCAACAGGACATGGACCAATGTCAGGTGCATGTCTTTTTTTCTTCTTTCAAATCACCCAGACTATGCGGGCGTTCCTGGGTGGTTCTCTGTTGGTTTCCCTTCAACCGCCATGGAGGCCATGCAGAGCTTGATCATGGAGTCCGGGTCCCGGCCATCGGTCCGACCGTCGGGCCGAGGTCGGTGCTTTTTTGTCCCCAAAAAGGGCCTGAGGTGAGCCAAGCTGGTTTTGTCCTTGTGGAAGGCATTGATTTGGGTGTGGGGAGATTCATGATCCTATTTTCCTAGGGTGCCTTACGTACAAGGGTGCCTTATGGATGTCGCATCTCACAGGGTCAGCGGCTGAACACAATTTTCTTGCAAGACAAGACCATGGCTGGTTTGACTGCACGCCCTTGAATAGGGTTTGTTGAAGGCAAGCTCCAAAATTGCAAACTTTGACTGGCTCTTCTGCATCTTCATCAGCTGCTTTTTGCGGGACCTCGTGCAGAGGCATGGATGATTTTCGAGCAAATCCACATTGCATTCAAGCAAACGGACCTGGGCGCAAGGGGCGATCGTCCGCACATGAAAAAGACCGCCCGTGCAAGCCGCGCGAACTATGCGCCTTAAAGCAGTTCCCGTTTTTCAGCGGAGGCAACCAACGTTGGACCCAGTGTTGCTCCCTCAACAGTGCCGGTTTTTCAGCAGGCATGCCCCAAAAGCTCGACACCAACCTCCAGAACATCATGTTGCATGTAGAAGCTGCTGTTGATGAAATAGTTGTACTATGTTCACAGTACTCTCCATCAGTACCAGCACCAGCATCAGCAGCCGCACTACCCCTACCACCGCCGCCACGTCGTCGTATCATTCATCATCGTCGTAGTCGTCGTGGTCGTCGTGGTCGTCATAGTCGTGGTGAATGTGGTCGTTCTGGTCGTGCTCGTGCTCGTGCTTGTGCTCGTGGTCGTGGTCGTCATAATAAAAAAAAATAAAAACAAAATAATAATAATAATAATAATAATAATAACAATAATAGCAACAAAAATAACAATCATAATAATAAGAAGAAGAACAATAATATAATATAATAAACATAATAATAATAATAATAAAAATGATAATAATCCTAATAATAATAATAATGATAATAATAATAAGAATAATAATAAAAAAATATAATTAATAATAATAAAAACTACTACTACTACTACTAATAATAATGATAATAATGATAATGATAATGATAATATTATTATTATTATTAATTATTATTATTAGTATTATTATTATTATTAATAATACTATTATTATTAATAATAATATTAGTAATAATAATAATAATAATAATAATAAAACCTACTACTACTAATAATAATAACAATAAAAATAATAATACTATCAATAATAATAATAATAATAACAATAATACTATTAATAATAATAATGATAATAATAATACTAATAATAATACCAATAATAACAATAATACTAATAATAACAACAATAGCAATAATAATAATAATAATAATACTAATAACAATAATAATAATAATACGATTTTATTATTATTATTAATAATAATCGTAATAATCATAATAATAATAACACAAATAATAGTAATAGTAGTTATTGATTATTATTTATATTAATAATAATAATCATAATAATCATAATAATAATAATAACA